GCTTCTAATTCAGAAAGTTTACTCACCCAAAGTTAAGAGGTCATGCTACAAAGAAAACTTGATTACCACCACTTTCTGCATTACCAAAACTGATCATTCAAGCTGCAGTGTGTTTATTTTTGACCCATCGGATTATTTCAAGATCTATGAAAGAACAAAAGTGTATGATTGTTTTCTTTTTTTTCACGTTTTAATCAGTCCATCACAGAAAATTCTGAGATATAGGATTCATTGGAAAGTCAAGACTGCCATCATATCCGTGGTCTTTACTAGTGTATGTAAACTTTTGCTCTGGACTGTACATGCGGCTCTAGTTTGCCACCTAGAGTTAAACACAGTCAACAGTGTTAACTGCAGGAAAAAAAGTTGGTAGTTTCTCAAGTTTAGAGTATTTTTGAGGCTTAAAGAGTAAAATAGGACCTCTTTGAAACCTCCATTCTCATCAGACTGTGGTGAAAAACTGCTTTTTTACAATCATATTCAGTAACTTTTTAAATAGGCCCTTTCAGGTGTTACATACGGGCTGTATGCTCCATTTTATTACAATATAATAACCAAAAGCAGCTTTAACTGACTGCTGCAGCATCCAGTTAGTTTTGGCTGAACTGTGTTCTTTGCACACACTGAGGAATGTGGAGCTGCCCCACATTAACTACATTGTACTATAGATAGAAAGCTGGGTCTTCATGTCCACTATAAATAAGGAAATAGATGACTTGGTGTCGATGCAGCCTACTTAGACCGTGAGTCTGAGTCTCCCAGTCTGTCAGGGTACCTGCGTTCCGTTGTATATGCCGACTTGGATGAGCCGAGTCTTCTGGTAGTTGAGGATGCTGTAGTGTGCGTATTTTCTGTCCCCGTCGTCATTGAACTCTACTCGTCCCGTGAAGCCTTCTGGGTATTTCGACGACATCAGCACCCTGCGGCAAACAAACGAGACGCATGTGTTCATGTGTTCATATCAGCGGTGTAACAGAGCATTGTGTTGACTCTCGATTCAGTGCACGGCTGATTCAAGGCATTTTTTGTTGGAAGCATAACCAGCGAGGCAGAGCTGCACTGGCTGCTGAGCCGGGATGATATTTGTTGGTGCATCTGTTTCGAAACAGTGCGTTTATTTTTTGTTCTGCTGCTGCTGCTGCTGCTGAGAGGCCACAGCAAAGTGGGTCAGCTGAAACTCAGATGCTGCATTTTGGAAGTCACAAAGAGAGGGTTTATTCTGGAAAACCTGATAAACCAGTGAATCTAAAAGACAGATTTCAAGTCAAAAGTGACAAAAACTGCAACTCACAGGTTAGGTTATGTAACTTATTTTTTAAAAAGGGATGCTTTGATGTCGAAGTTGCTGATCCTGAATCTTTTTTAACAAAGAGAGAGAGAGAGAGATTTGTCCTTATAATCAAACCGTAACATCAAAAAAGTGTCTGAGTGAAGCTCACCGTTTAAAAAGAGGCCCTGTTTTCCAGATGTTGGTGTTGCCCACGCAGCCTCTCGGGGGTTCAGTGATATTCTCCTTCTCAAAGAGCTCCTGGATGGACTGAGCCACCACAGCCACCGCATCATTGATATGGGCTGACTCATTCTTCCCGTTGATGAGCTGGAGGCCGATCAGACCTGAGGCCAGGCCAACAACAGAGAAAAGTCACCCACCCGAGCCGACTACAGCCTGTCAGGATCCTTTTGCAATGCGCAAAGTGGAGGAAAAAACTTATAGGGCCTCCGGTTTAGACATCCCGAAGAAAGGTCAGACATCAGTTGCTTGATCCATCTTTGTTGCCTGTGAATCTCTGCGAGGATAACTTTAATAAAACCGTCTCATAACTTGTCATTTATGAGACGAGGCAGCAGGAAATAAATGGATCGCTTTTTTCTGATGTTGCCACTGTAGACCTTTTCACAGCATGTGTAAAGAGTCCCTTGAAGTTGGATTTATACGTTTTGTTTTCAGCCCTACCAGCAAAAAGGTTTGAGGAATCAGCACAGGCAAAGTGTCTCTACTAAACAAAAACACCGTCAGGCCTAAATTTAAACCAAGCAACAATCCAACTTCAGCTAAGTTTTCTGATTGCAACCAGGTCCATGAGAAGCTGCAGTGTGACAGGTGAGAGAAAGTGGACGTGGACAGGACAACAAACGCTCTGCAGGGGTTTGGTTGTGTCGGAGTGCCTGGGGGGGAAAGACGGTCGACATTTGTGACCACAAAGTGAGAAAATCTTGTGAGACGTGTGCGAAGAATCCACAGAGAGAGAGACAAGAAAGGCTGTTGTAGCTTACCATTCTACCTGAAGCAAACCTCTCCCTTCATTAGAAACCAGGGTATTAATACGGCAGAACAGCACAGTGATTTTTTTAGCTTTGGATCAAAATAAAAAAAACTGAGTGCCGGCACACACACACACGCCACCGTTTAAACCTTTAAACACAAGGATGCTTAAACGTTTAAACGCTCAACAAGCAGTTAATCATATAATGCATCCACCGGTAAATGGTTAATCTCTCTAATCCCGCACGGGTTGCGCTTGGGCCTCGCAGCAAAGCCGAGGCTAACTACCGTATTCCCACCGATCTCTGTTGGATGAACGTACCGTCTGGCGCCTCACTCAGGGCTTTACCCGACATCTCGCGCTCGCCCACCAGCCACACGTAGCCGGAGCCAGTCATGTTGAGGAAGCGGGCAGCCTTGTACACTGCAGCAGCGTCTTCCTCACTGGTGGGACGTTGAAGAGAAAAGATAAAGAAAGAGTGTTTTTCATACCAGAGGGGGATGAATGTAGGAGTAAAGAGGACATACAGGGATTGTTTTTGGGGTGATTCCAGGTTTAATAATCAGTTTTAGTTGTTTTCTTGTGGGATTGAAACCTGAACTGTACCTTCATACATGTGTACACACAAGAGCAATATATACTATCCATCCATCCATTATCTATACACCACTTAATCCTCACTAGGGTCATGGGGGGCTGGAGTCCAGCTGACTCAAGGTGAAGGCAGGGGACACCTGGACAGGTCACCAGTCTATCACAGGGCTACACTTAGAGACAGACAACCAAGCACACTCACATTCACACCTACGAACAATTTAGAATCACCAATTAACCTCAACATGTTTTTGGACTGTGTGGGAGGAAGCCGGAGAACCCGGAGACAACCCACGCTGCACGGGGAGAACATGCAAACTCCACGCAGAAAGATTCCGGTGCCCCCACCGGGACGCGAACCGGCAACCTTCTTGCTGCAAGGCAACAGTGCTACCAACTGCACCACCTTGCAGCCCCAACATGGACTAATATGTAAAATATCAGCATACTTGGGTTTGTACTTGCTTGCTGTTCGATTTTTTTCCTCTTAAATTTGAGCAGTTTTTCTTTTCATATACTTTTATTGGCAATTAACATGCATCCATGTTTCCTATGAATCTCAAAATAATCAATAAAAAGTAGACATATATAAAAAATAAAAAATCTATCAAACAAAAATGTTATTTTTTAATGACTTGCTCAATGGGAACATTAAATCAGGTCTATGGGGTGTTGTGACAGTGATTACCCCCCTATTCGTTGTGCAATAAGAACATTTCTACAATGCATTTTTCTACTGGTGCAACATTAATACATTATTTATTGTCTACCATGCAAAACATTTTTTTTAAATAAATGCTTTTGTTGATGCCCGAACTGTCTTGAACTTAAGGAGAAGCATTTCCAGTTTCATTATACATTTATTTATTAACAACAAAGCCTTTCCATTCTATTTCAAAAAATAATTTCATTCATGCATTTAAAGTTTAGTCTGTGTGATGTTTTTTGCAGTTCTTTGCTCAAGTCACACAATCAAAATAAATCAGTAAATTTGTTTTTAACTTTTCACCCTAAGTCAGCTGGGATAGACTCCAGCCCCCCTCGACCCAGTCAGGATTAAGTGGTGTATAGATGATGGATGGATGTTTCTAACTTTCATTATCCTTTCATTTTAACTTCACACATGGATAATTGTCTCAGTTCCATTTTTAATTGTCCACACTTGCATTGTTGCTTCAGAATTAGATTTTTGAACAAAAATAAAATGATTTTTAAAAAGTCCTATTTGCTGTGTTTTGGCTTGTGGTTGGACTGTACCATGACCGCCTGGGGGGAGTCTAAAGCGAGCCACGAACGAGTCGTGCAACCGCATCATGTCGTTAGCTTACTGTACAGCACATTAGCATGCAACAATTTATCTGCTACGCTGTGGACATGGTGGTGGTTCAGTGGTGGAGGCTGTGGGCTAATAAACAGGAGGTCAGGAGTTCAAGCGCATCGGCGAGCTGCTGCTGTGGGACCCTTGAGCAAAGCCTTTAAGCCTTTCTGCTCGGACTGCAGCGTCTTAACGAGCTGGGATGTTTGAAAAGAGAATTCCCCCTTGCAGGATAAATAAAGTGTACAAAACAAATAATAATATTGTTTATACTTTCATTATTGTATCAGACTGTTGGTTGTGCTTCAGGATTATATCACCACCCACACAAAGTCCCCCTCTGGGCCAGTCGGGGTCTTCAGAAGGGGGTTTGAAGGTTGTTTCTCTGCTTTAAATCTGAACAACAACAATGACGACACACTGGGTCGTGACTCCAGTCTGAAAAATGCTCACGTATGTGTCCAAACTCTCCCGAAATAGTGTAGCCCCATAAATTATTGCATGGTCAGATGTCCTACATACATAATGCAACTGTTCTACTGGGTCCGTGGCTGTGGACCCCCCTCGGGTGTTAATGGTACGGTCCAACCACAAGTCTGAAATTTTTTCCCCAAAAAAATCTAATTCTGAAACACAGACAATTAAAAATTTAACTGAGAGACAAACATGCACTTGCGGAGTAATAAAAAAAATGAATAATTGAATTGAATAAGTTTCAAACCCATTTTTTTATTTGATTCAGTTTGATGGTGCGAACTGAGAACTGCTTTCCACGGACCAGAGTTGAGCTCATGTGCTGGTTAGACTCTTTTTAGCCACAAGCAGTTCATTCATTAAATATTTATCGCTCTTGTCAACTATTCTTGAGTTTTCTACCCAACATATACAGTCTTACTTTTGTAGTTATTTCATTTTTAAAATTGTGTTGTAGGGAAGCATGTATGGGCCTCCAAATCCAAAAAACTATAGAAATGGTTTCCAAATGTTTGGCTCTTTGGCTTGATGAGTATCACAGGTTGGTTAGGATAAAAGATAAATGTTGTATAGCTTATTTAAACGGAACAAACAAATGCATTTCAAGGAAGATTTGTGTTGAAGTTTTGCTTTTCTTCTGAACCCAACATTTTCATTTTTACTGCAACTGTTTCAAATATCTATCTTGCTAATAATCGGTATCAGTATTGACTCTACAAAACACATATCAGTTGACCACTAATTGTAAAGATGATGATATTGAGGGGAGCAGCTTTTGTGTTTCCATCCCGTTTCCATGAGCTGGTCTACCTCCATTAAAACCTCCATAAGCATCCCTTCTTGCATCTGTCATTTTTTTATAATGCAAGAAGATGATTGTGTTTTAAGGCTTGATAGACCTTTAAATATGCATGACTCTAAGTATCTGAGCTTTATACTTTTCTATCAGACATGCACTCGCGTTTGTTGCATCTGCAGGTATCGATAAAAGTCTTTCTTTTCCTGCATTTCCAACCTGAGCATCCTGCCTTCTTTCATTATACTCTACAGAGCTGTTTAAGGATTTGAGCATTTCTTTTTCACTTAAGTAGCTTTAAACGTACAAAAAAATCCACTTTAATTGTACCTCTTGGATATTTTGCATTCAGCTCTCTAATGTTTAATTAAAGCTTTATGATGCGTTTAAATATTGAAGCATTAAAACGCAGGATCAGATGAAACTGTATCCGACAGTCGGTGGGCTTCAGGAACTAAAGTGAGCGACGGTTAAGAGCAGCAGAGACCTTTAGCTTGTTTTGTGAGTTGACCTTTTTCTGCATGACTGCTTTATTACATCCAGAGGGAATGTAGGTGCGTCTTCTACAGCATTTTAGACACATTTCCTAAGAAAATGTTTGAAAAATTGCTGTCAAATCAGGCTATAAAATTGAATATAAAGATCCACACATTGCATTTTTAGCTCACTTTTATCTCAGTGCATCCATTTGGAGCCTCCAGGGCAGCTTTTAAGCATGTGTCCAGTAAATACGGCCAATCTGGATGAAGCGATGTGTAATCGGGGGTGAAAGTCTCACCTGGCGGACAGAATGATGACTCGGGCCTCCAGCTCTTTCGCCTCCAGCAGCAGGGCAGTTAAGTTAGTCTCCTGGCTGAACTGGAGGACTTTCTCTGCCTGTGATTGGGGCATAAGAAAGGTCAAGCCAGCTACTTTTCCCCCTCTACCTCAGACACCATGCTGCCTCTCTTTACCTGCTTCGGTTTCGAGCTTGGCCGATTTTGTTTGAAAACGAGAGACAGAGATTAAAAAGGAAAAGCGATCCAGGAGGAGGAGGGGGGGGGGAACCGGCTGAACTAAAAAAATAAAAATTGAAAAGTAAAAAAAGTAAAAAAAAAAAAAAAAAAAAGAAAAAGCTTTGAAGGGAAAAAAACTTTTGCATTTGTTTCGCATGCAAACTGAGGGTTATCAAGGCTCCAAAGAAGGACGTGCATGTGTTAGGTAAGGGGGGAAGAAGAAGGTCAATGCAACCAGTAACTAAAAACGGGTGAGAGGGGGGTGAGGAGGACGTTTTCCCCCAACAAAAAACTGCTGAAAACTAGGGAAGTGCTACAGAACGGGAGGAAGTAGCATCTGGGAAACGGTTTTATCCCACACTACCGGTTCTCCACAAAGGAATGAACTTGCAAACTCTTTTTTTTTTTTTGTGAGTGTGTGTGTGTGTGAGAGAGAGAGTGTGTTCTGAGTACATGCATTCCTTTATTGAAGGAGAAAATGAAAATGATAAAAGCGGGGCGCTGTTCACTGACATCTTTTTTTTTTTTTTTTTACTGTGATGACCGAGAAATTATAGATTTTTCATAACAAAACCATTCGTCATTTAAATCATAGAGGAAATGTCTCAAAGTAAAAAATTAAAGAAAACACGTGCTACCAAGAGAAGGGGACATTTCTGGGTCGGCTGGTGACTGGTTTGGGCTGGTTTCTAGTTGCTACGATTGGAAAGTTGGTGGGCGGCGTGCATTGACCATGCAAATATACCTTAGGTCCTCGCTTGTTGTCATAGGACAGTTGGTCGAGGTTTTCATAGTTCCTTTTTTTATTCTGATGAGTAATGTGCACAGAGAAAATATGCAGACACAGAAAAATATTATAAACAGTTGAAAATGGAGGGCAGTAAAGCATTCCAACAAATCTCCACTTTTCTGCTTCAAATTGGGATCTTTAACAGTGGGGCTTGCAAAGAACATCAGAGATTAAAAATCATGTGTGCTTCTAACTTATTGGATTATGTCGAATAATTCAAGGACACACCGAGTCACATTTTTGGCTTCCAAAAAACAAAAAAAAACCCACAAAGAGGCTCGTTAAATGTTTTGCAGGATGGCACGCTTACAAAGGACGCTGCTAATCTCGACAACCATCTGCTCGTGCAACATCGTTTTCACGAGAGCCGGCAACAGAGGACGAAGTTGGTTTCTATACTTAGCTTCGTCCGACCGAACGCGATCCTCTAAAGCTCGGCTAAGTGCTGCAGTTTGTTTGTCGCAAGTGACAAAAGCCGGAAAAAGAGGCACTTGAACCTAAACATGCTGGAACAAAATCTACTAAAAACTGTGTCCTCCTTCCAAATTACACAGATCTGGTGAATCAATGGCCACACTCTGACAAAAGAAAGAATGCTGCAAGATTTAAATATTTAAATTTGACTTAATAAGTTGTGGCTGAAAAAGCTTCAGAAAGCACCAGAACTTAAGCAGCAAAAAACATTTTGCTTTCTCTTTTCTGCAGCATTTCATTGGTTGTAGAACTCCAGTCCGATCAAGGTCTGAAGCAGCGTAAAGACTGTATGTTAGCAATACGAAAAGCACAAACAGGTTAAACTACACTCAGAGTATCGGGTGTCACCATTTCGGACTCGCTGTTCTGTGAGAGAAGAAGAAGAAGCCACTCGGGATTCCCCGCCTGAGACTGGGAGCCATTTTGCAAGAGAATAAATACAGCATCTTTCTGCTTCACAGGCTTTTCTTGCACAGCTGCCTGGATTCACAGCTGCACACCTCAGTGCACTCTGACTCTCTCGCTGCACCGAAGGCTGACCGCACGGCAACGCATTCAGCCGGCACGCTCACAACTCACAGCGAATGCCGTCCAGTAGCTGTCCTGCAACATAAAGCTCTTGTTTTATGCACTAATCCTGGTAATTTGACTAATTCTACAATTATTGCATCCAAATTTAGGAATGACAGCAGAGTGAGTGACCGATTTCAGACTGAAATAACCAACTGAAGGTCGTGTGATTCACTCTGATTTTGTGATATTTTCAAAGATCAGCGAACGTGCTGCAGATTGACGTCACTCCAACGTCCCAGAGGCAAAATAGTTAAGACGTCTGCAGTTCAGCTCCTGTCACCTCCCGCTCTGTCCTCCATCTCTGTCCTTGTCCCATCAAATAAAGGCAAAAAATGATGAAAAACTAAGACCTTGACGAACTCAAATCGGATGAAATCACCCCTCTGAAGTTATTTTTTCCACTTTTTTGCAGGCGAACCTAAAACATTAGGATGAATTATTAACCTTTTGCACCTTCTAGTCACGTTTTTAGATTCTTTTTGCATCTATGTCTGCTAAAAAGCCTTAATATTCTTGCAGACTGCACACAAGGAGACCTGCCTTTGTCTTTTTTCCCTCCACCCCAAGAGTTTTTTTTTGGGCGCACTATTTTTGTATCCGCAGCCAGACATTAATATTTCACATTGTGTTGGTCACGTTTGCTCTCTAAGTCCACTGTGTCCGGAGCCGCTCTGCTGGTGGTGACAGCGATCCCCCAGCGGCTGCGTGACCTCCCTAAAGACTTAGCACCAAGCTAAAAATAACATGTACATTTAGTTAGAGTTTATGTGGCACAACACCAACACCTCTCCACTGGAATCTAACATCCTTTAACATCGGCTAAAAGTAGCCGAGCTGCTGCTGGATGCGCAATTTCCAAAGAAAACTACAATAAAAGAGCTTGTTTTTATGACTTAGAGCCGTTTTTATTATTCTCAGGGAGTGATTTTGTCTGCTTTTGTTATTGCGCCAAGAAAAACAGATCCCCAGATGTCACCTCAGACAGAAATGAGATGTTCGATCGAATTTTATATCTGCAGCACCACAAGAATAAGACGTTTTTCTATATTCTCTCATTCTCGTGTGAGAATCCCACGCAAAGGCCAAACCCAGGAATACGTTAGTCCGTCTGTCAATACTTTATGACTCCACCATGTTTGTAGCTCCCAGCCTGAGGCACAGTTCTCCTCATATCATGCTTCGTTTTTTTTTTTTTAAAAAGGGGGGAAAAAAAAGGCTCAGCTGGGAGTGTCGAGGAAATGTCAAGATCGTGCAGTTGTTGGAGACTATTTTCAGCTACGGATTAATATGTACACTGGCGGGTGATATTTGCTGTGGGATTAACTCTAAATGAACCTTAGCGGACGTCTGTGGTGTCGTCGTTTATTGTTAACAGACAGCAGCGGGGCACGTATTTGGACACGCATTAGGAGATTCAATTGTTGTTTTACTTTTGTGGGATTTTGTACAGAAAACTGCCAAAGACTCTCCAATGAATCCTCCTCAAACTGGCACTGCAGTCACAACTAAATATATTCATAATTAGAGTTGCAGCAACTTCTCTCGGCACTGCGAGGCTCAACTGGCTGCACAGATGGGTCCATTTTCACATCCAAATTCAGATAATGCAGAAAAGGAACTTCACGGCCTCTCATCAAAGGCTTTTAATACACTAATTTATATCTGAAGTGCAGGATGCGAGCCTGGGTGCTGTCGCCGTCCAAACCGACACACGATCCAGCGCGATGCTTTCAGAGTGGTAGCTCGCCGGTGCCCATCCCAGCCTCTTTTAATTTAAGCAGCTTTTGCTTTAACCGCGGCTTCCGTCTTGCAGACTACCTCGGGTGTGTGTCATACTTAGTGTCTCTTCAGCTCCTGATTTAATTAAAATCTCTGAATCAGGACTCATTTCACCCTGCCACACAATTACAGCAGAGAGCCCCAGAGAGGGACGAGCATCGGAGTATAAAGAAAATAACATATCCCAGGGTGATATCATCTGATTAAATGGCTGAAACAGACAGCAGTTGTTTTTTTTTTTTTTCTTACTTCCTCTCTTTCTAACTCTCTCTCTCTCTCTTTTCCTAAAGGGCAAACATCCTCTCATACTCAAGTCTGTTTTGGCTCAAAGATCAGCATTTCACTGACCCACATACACGGCTCAGAGCTATACTTAAAATGGATGCATCAGCGCTATCTGAAAAAGCCACAAAAAAAAAAAAAAAAAAGAAGTCCCGTATCTTGACGTAGCAAGAAAAAAAAACAAGCACAATAAATGAAGCCTCAGTTAACAACCACCAGTCTGTGATGGTTTGCAAAGCCCCATGTTAAAGTCCGCTATTTGGCTCCCAATGTGGATAGACACAGGATAATTTGGACTATGGCGAAAAGCAACGTGAAGATGAGCAAATAAACATACAAACTTTCGTCAGATTAGACCACATTAGACGCTGTTGATGTCTCTAGGAATGTTAGCCAATGTTTACACAATGGTGAGAAAGAGATGTGTCCACACAACAGAAAGGAAAACAGTTACATACATAGAAGACCTTTGAGCTTAAAAAAAGCCTGTTGTTGTTTTTTTTTGCTGTTTTTTTTTTGGTTGTTGTTTTTTTTTTTTTTTTTTAACGCACTCGCACGTTCATGTGATTGGACGGGTGGAGCGTCTCACCTTTGTTTCTCGCTCCTCCAGGAGGGTCTCGAGCCTCTTTTGAGCAGCCCGGCCCTCGTGGTCGTCGCTCACAATCAGGATGATGTGGTTCCAGTTGAACTCGCGCATCAGGTCGAACCAGACGTGAGCCTGGTGGGAATAGGGAGGGACTGTCCGCAAAAAGGACAGGTGGATACTCTGAAGAGCACCGAGCAGGAAAAAACAGAAAGCGATTAAGAAGAAGCAGCCTTTGGATTGCCACAAATACAACACAGCACTTTTGTGTGTCCCAGTTGGCCATGATTAGGCATCTCTGGAGCAGGTAGGGTTAAGGGCCTTGCTCAAGGGCCCAACAATGGCAGCCCTGTGTTTTGCCATTTGGGATCAAGTTAGTCCAGACTTCTCTCAAACTTTTCAAGATTGGGACTAAATATTGCAACGTAGGCTCCTAGCTATGAACACTGTAAATTATCGTAAGTTCAATCAGCTCAGAAATGGTAGCAAGGGTTTGATCAGTGACCTAAAACCACAACTGTTGAGCAACTACAGCAGACAAAACCTGCCACAAGTGGATTTTTGCCTCGTACAAAAACATATGCTTGGTACAGAATGACCAAAAGTATGTGGACACCCTTTCCTTGGTGGTATAGTTGGTCAAAAAGTTGAACCAGGAGGAGAATTACCCAGTGTTTTGCCATCTGGGATCAAGTTAGTCCAGATTTCTCTCAGACTTTTCATGAGTGGGACTACATATTGCAATGTAGGCTCCTAGCGATGGACACTGTAAATAATAGTAAGTTCAATCAGCTTAGAAATGGCAGGAAGGGTTTGATCAGTGATAATAAAATATATAATAAAAAATAACAACCATTGAGCAACTACAACAGAAAAAATTTACCAAAAGTTGAGATTTTTACCGCGTAAAACAAGCACAGAAATACATGCTTGGTACAATATGGCCAAAAGTATGTGGACACCCTTTTCTTGGTTGTCATAAAGATGAACCAGGAGGATAATTAGCCCATGTTTCCCATCTGGGATCAAGTCACTCAAACCTGGATGACTAGTGCTCTAAATAAAGAGCCATGATCACTGTCAATGGCAGTAAGTTCAATCAGTTTGTAAATGGCACCACTGGTGTTTGATCCTTCAACCTTCAGTAACATCAAAGCCTCAACCGTTGATTCACCATGGCTCTGGCTCACTCTGAAGATGCCATTACAAATACATTTTCAATGAAAGAAGCACAGGAAGAAGACAAAATCTGCCACAAGTGGAGATTTTTTTTCCCTTTTAAAACAAGTACAAAAATATATGCTTGTGTACAATATGGCCAAAAGTATGTAGACAACCTTTTCCTTGGGGGCACAGTTGGTTAAATAGTTGAACCAGGAAGAGAATAGGTCCATGTTATTCTATCTGGGATCAAGTAAGTCCAGATTTTCTCTCACTAGATGCAGCTACGAACAATGCAAATCATAGTAAATTCAACCAGTTTAGAAATGGCAGCACTGGGGATTAAACCAACGACTTTTTGATCAACGATCCTGAAACTCAACAGTTGAGCCGCTACAGCTTTGGATCATTCTAAAGATGCAAACAACAACTCAATTTTTAATGGTAGAAGCACAGTAAGAAGTCAAAACCTGCATCAGATTGAGGTTTTGGCCTTTTTAAAAAAGGTACAACATGGCCAAAAGTATGTGGACGCCCCTTTCCTTGGGGGCACAGTCGCTCAAAAAGTTGAACCTGGAGCACAATGACCCCATGTTTTGTTATCTGGGATCAAGTAAGTCCAGTCCAAGTTGGAATGATCCTGACCAAGATTTCTCTAACATTTTGTAACATGGCCAGCACTCTACGTAGGACGACATGTTACAACTAATGATGAAAAGACCAGCAGGTGGAAACAGCCAGCATGGGGTCACTTTAAGGGTTTTATCTGAAATATAACAACACAACTCCGATAAAATTCCATTTTCAATTACTTTTAAACAGCCTGAGTACACATTATTGACACATTTGTGTGTTTTAAATCAAGAAAAGGCTAAATGTCCAATAGTTAAAGTAAGGAATGTCTGTGGAAGGACTGGGTTGCTTTTAGGAGAGAATCACCATACACTGATTAATAACAGTTTAAAGTATGTTTGCTTTTTTTCTATTGATGGCTGTTTGGGGGATTCATTTATGGAGACAGTATCCAATTTTGTGCACTTTACTGTCCTAAAAGGCTTACAAGATAAACAAAAATCTACTCTATCTAAAACAACTGAATTGCAAAATATAAACAAATGTAGAGATGCAGCATGAAACCAAATATCATCTAAGTTTTGTTACGTTTTGCCCTGAAATCCACCCTTTGTCTGGAATCATGATAATCTCAGATATCCCTCTAAACAGTTTTATCCCACACATATTGAAGATTTGATCCAGATCGAAACTACGACCGGATTATATGATCTAATCTAATTTCAAAACCCTTTTTCTTTAGAACAACCTATTTTCAAGATTTGATCCAATCCAATCCCCCAAATCCCATCAAATTACATCTGAACAACCGGGCCTCAGGCTGTTTGAACATCAGATTACAGTTTGGGATTTATATGAGAGCAACATTTGGGCATCTGCATATTTCTGATCATATAATGTTCTTTTATGGCTCTACTCATGCCTGTAGCTTTAGAAACAGTGACACCACAAATTAAAGAGGAAGAACTTTCTTGTAGCGGTAAACAAATGTCAGACCCAGTGGATGAACATCATGTGAAGAAGCATAAAGCGCCTTCATTATCTCTTGATCTATGCTCAGACCCCCTCAGGCTTCCTTAAATCTCTGGAATTTAATGCTTCTGATTTCCTTTAATTTGCAAGATTATGGGCCGTGTCACTTTGATAACTCGATTTAAGGTCTATTTAAGTCCTTGGCATTTTATTTATGCGGTTGCTTTAAAGTTTCATTTCGGCGGCATGTGCTTCATAAAAACGTAACTCAGGTCGGAGGCATTATTAATGATGTTCTTTCAAATTTCAGCTGGAAGCCCATTTAATCACAGCTCCGCTAATGGACAGTGATGGGACGTTTAATCTAGGAGGCTTCTGAAGACGCCCCGGGGGAGCCGCTCACTCCTTCGCTCTGCGTTCGCTCTCTTTCCTCTTCCTCCATCTCCCTTCACGTGGCCCTCATCCATCACTCACCTTGTCGGAGTAGATGGACATGCGGGTGGTGAGCCCCACCACCGGGATGCGGTAGAAGCCTGCAGTGTAGGAGACAGGCGTCGGGGTGAGGTGGTCATTGGACTGTGGAGGGTGACTCACCAGGATGGCATAGACCTGCAGAGATGCACAAGAACAACACTCTGTCATTCTGACATCGACATTAGGACAAAGAAACGGTAAAGCGGTAACAGCACTCCTCCTACTCTGATGAAGAGTTTGGACGTGCAGCAGTTAGTCATTCTTGCTTGTTTTATCCAAACAATAAGACATTAACATGACTACAACACATAAGCATGTTGAAATATTTATCACGCATACGTAAACAAACATGTACATTGTTAGTCCAACTCTATGGGAGCTGAAAACAACAACGACAACAACAAAATCATTCACCGTGCCTCGTTACTAGGATGAACATGATATTTAGAGAACAAAATATATAACACAATAAGATAGTATAAACTTAGACGGGATAAGCTAAACTAAGACAAGCTAAGACAAGCTAAGAATATACAAGATAAACTAAACTAAGATTAGCCACGAAAAACCTAAATAAGCTAAGCTAAGCCAGGCAAAAATAAGCTTAGATACGGCAAGATAGTCTAAGCTAAAATAAGGTAAATTAGGCCAAAATAAGCTAAGATGGCCTAAGATAAGCTAAGGACCGCTAAACTAAGCCAAAATAACTATGATAAGCTCAGATAAGCTAAGCTAAGATAGGTTAAGATAAGCTAAGATGGGCAAAGATACGATAAGATCCTCAAAGATACGCTATGCTAGGTATATTGGGTAAAATAGGCTAAGACAAGCTAAGATGGGCTAAGACAAGATAAGCTATGATAAGCTAAGGTACGCTATGATAAAGCTAAAAAGATAATATAAGCTCGGATAAACTAAGTTACAATAAACTAAGATAGGCTAGGCTAAGCTAAGACAAATAAGCTAAGATACTCAGACAAGATGAGCTTTCTGATCCCTAACCGGTGAAATTTACATGGTAAAGCAGCTACAGACAAATGAGGCATGAAAGAAGCAAGACAAGAAATACAAAAGTACAACATGGCTAAAAACAAAGATTTAATAAAGACTGTAGACCTTTCACATTTGGTGGATATTGATATTTGCACATATTCCATAATAATTCATGTATCCAACTGTAATTTCTGTAAAAGCAGCCTCTTTGGATCCAAACCTCCAAGTTTCCAGCTTGATTTCAGACCAAACCTCAACATTCGCTCCAGACAGATGAGTTCACTTAAAGCCTTTTCTGTTTCCGTTTATATCTGACAATAATCAAGTGATCGCAAACTGATTGCCTTGCATAATCTGGGACATCCGATGCCCCCTGAGCATGTGTGTCCCTGAGGCAGCTGCCCACTTCACCCAGTCGATAATTCAGCCTTGGCTCAAACATCTGTGTTCCTGCTTTAATGTGAGCCAAATCTGCTTTAAAAACAATACGGCCAGCCTTAAGTGAGAGCAACTGCTGCTGTAAAACGTTGTGTAACCGGTTAAAAATAACATTTTTGATACGCAAATTGTAGCCAGGGACAAATTCATTTATAACAAAGAACAGAGGAGCAAAGAAATCCTCTCCTTTGTTTGAATGAGGACGACGATGTTTTAGTCTTATTCCTGCATTAAGCAAACCAAAGCCGTGCAGGCGTTTGATTAAAGAATGAACTCCGGCGAGGACAGACTTGAGAAAAGCCTCGGAGATGTGCAGGAAGGGGGAATAAAGTTGGCACGGCTGCGCAGGGATGGATTATTGGATACGAGCGCTCCGTATGGTTGGGTCAAAAATGAGGTCTATCTTCCAAGGACTGCTCCCAGGCATCTCCTCGTCCATCTGCCACAGACTTCCTCCTCTCGCTGACTGTCACCTACGAGCTAATCTCATCTGATTGAACCCTCAGATACAGGCTTTCAGTCTGATTCAGCTCATTTACCAGAGAGGTATGTTTGTTTGTGTGCAGAGAAGAGCTGAGCCATTGTTGGTGTTATCTGTACGAACTAATGGGCGGACTGCACGCTCATGCAATGTGACAGAATTATCCTACAAGCCTGTATCAATTAGAGACATCACATTAAGCAGAGGACCAAGGACATGAAAGCAGAAGCACTGAAGCTGTGGGTGTTTTTGTCCCTCTCTCTCTTTTTTTGTGCATAAAGCTTAATTATGTGTGTGGGAGAAAAAGCACTGAGAGCGAGGGGGACTTCACGCCTCGACATGCTCTGACATTATGTTGGCGCCTTTTAAAAGCCACGTTGAGCATCACATGAGAGGATGGTCGATGCATTTCAGTGCTCTCCTACATGTATAACTCATGAAGCGTGTTTTGTCTCGTAGATCCGCAGCACATCTGGTGAAAATCTTTAAAGCATTTCTAACCTGCGCTATACATTTCGCAGTTTTTCTTCCGTCTCATGGCTGCATCACGTCGCGGCCGAGTGACTGATCCACATCCGAGTTTCATCAAACTGTCCGCAGTCATTTCTCTCTCCTGTTGCGACTATCATGCAGCGGCAGCAGCGCCGTCGAAGCAAAGGGCATTAATTCTGAACGACATACTGCACATTTTCACTCTCGACTGGCTCCTTCGCAGTTCAGTTGATCTGCAGCTGTGTGTGTCCTGAAATGTACAGTTGCCCCCTCATCCGAGACATTGCCCCGAACCAAAACGGGCTATTTTTGGACGTCTGTGCGAAAACAGATGGATCTGTTGGAGAGTTTCATTGTATCAGAACTACACTAAGTGGATGAATATGTGTGTTAGAGCGGAGAGTTGGTGCCAAATAGGACACACAGATGGAATTGTGTGTTTTTTCTTCCCCCCCCCGTGCATCAAGGTGGTTGAATGGAGAGTCTGCTGCTGCTGGAGGTTGTTGTTTAGAGTTTAGATCTAATCATGAATCTTGGCTTGTGTGTTAAGAAACATCTGATTCTGACATGTAGGAGGTTTGTTTTTCTGTAGCAGAAATTCTTCAGAAACAGCTTCATACAGACTCCAACAGCAAACTATCTTTACATTGAGGTACGGTTTTGGTTAAATTGCACCCAAATGTGCAATTTAAACACAAGAAACTGCAACTAAATCTGCAATTTGGCTCATGTGTGAGAAAACACATCTGATTCTGACACGTAGGAAGTTTTTCTGAGAGCAGCAACACCTTCATGAACACTGCAACAGCAACCTAGCTTCACATTTATGTGGTTAAATTGCACCAAAATGTGCAATTTATGGATCTCGGCTCATGTGTACGAAATAAAAACCCATCGGATTCTAACATGTAGAAGATTTCTCGGCATGCAGCAACTTTCAGGGAACACATTCCTCCAAAAACACCTTCATGCCAACTCCAGCTGCAGACTGGCTTCACCTCTCGCTGCAGTTATGGGTAAATTTCACCTAAATGTGCAATTTCGCCCCAATTTATGAATATAAATTGCACATTTAGGTGCAATTTACCAACAACTGCACTCAGATCTTGGCTCATGTGTGACAACATGCACCTGATTCTGACAGATTTTTTTTTTTTGTCTGTAAGCAGCAACACCTTCATGCAGTCCAACAGCAAACTATCTTCACATTTAGGTGCAACTATGGTTAAATTGCACCAAAAAAAATTTAATTAATAAGAAAACACACCTGATTCTGACATGTAGGAGGTTTTTTTTTCCTGCAACTTCCAAGGAGCAGACTCCTCTAAAACAGCTTCATTCAGACTCCAACAACAAACTGTTATTCTGGTAGATTAATCATAACAACTGGACTCGCTTGAGTTCCTTGAAGACGTTTCACCTCTCATCCAATAGGCTTCATCAGTTCTGACTGACTAGTTGGGAGTATTAAGTATCAGCTGCCCAAACAACAACAAACTGTTTAGATGCAGATGTGATTAAAGTTCACTTAAATGTGCAATTTGTATCCAGAAAGTGCAAATTCAGGTGCAATTTAAACCCCATTTTGTGTCCATAAATTGTACATTTAGGTGCAAATACCCACAATTGCACCCAAATCTTGGCTTGTGTATGAAAACACATCCGATTCCGACATGTAGGAGGTTTTCTGCCAGCAGCAACCCTTCCCGCAGACTCCAACACCAAACCATCTTTAAATTTAGGCACCAAAATGTGGAATTTACCAGAAAACACACCTGATTCTGACATATCAAGTCTTTTTTCCTGCAACTTCCAAGGAGCAGGATTCCTTCAAAACAGCTTCATGCAGACTTCAACATCAAACTATTTCTACAATTAGGTGCAATTGTGGTTAAAGTTCACTTAAATGTGCAATTTGTATTCAGAAAGTGCAAATTTAGGTGCAATTTAATCACATTTTGTGCCTATAAATTGCACATTTAGGTGCAACTTACCCACAACTGCACCAAGATCTTGGCTCAAGTAAATAAAACACATCTGATTCCGACATGCAGGAGGTTTTTCTGCCAGCAGCAACGCCTTCACGCAGACTCCAACACCAAACCATCTTTAAATTTAAGCACCAAAATGTGGAATTTACCAGAAAACACAGCTGATTCTGACATGTAGGAGTTTTTCCTGCAACTTCCAAAAAGCAGATTCATTCAAAACAGCTTCGTTCAGACTCCAACAACAAACTGTCTTTACAATTAGGTGCATTTGTGGTTCAAGTTCACTCAAATGTGCAATTTGTATTCTGAAATTGCAAATTGAAGTGCAATTTAACCACATTTGTTGTTGACAAATTGCACATTTAGGTGCAATTTACCCACAACTGCACCAAGATGTTGGCTTATGTAAAACACATGTAGGAGGTTTTCAGCAAGCGACAACACCTTTACGCAGACTCCAACACCAAACTATCTTCACATTTAGGCACCAAAATGTGCAATTTACGAGAAAATACATTTGATTCTTACATGTAGGATTTTTTTTTTCTGCAACTTCCAAGTCGCAGATTTTTCCAAAACAGCCTAATGCCGACTAAAACAGCAAACTGTCTTTACAATTAGGATGCAACTGTGGCTAAAGTGCACCTACATGTGCAATTTATGAGAAAACCCATCTGCTTCTGACATGTAGGAGGTTTTTCAGCGCAGCAGCAACACCTTCATTCAGACTCCAACTGCAAACTGTCTTTACATTTAGGTGCAGATGTGGTTAAAGTTCACTCAAATGTACAATTTGTATTTAGGAATTGCAAAATTATGATGCAATTTAACCCCAATTTGTGTCTATAAATTGCACATTTACCCACAACTGCACCCAGATCTCGGCTCATGTGTGAGAAAACATCTGCTTCTGACGTGTAGGAGGTTTTTCTACCAGCAGTAACACCTTCATGCAGACTCCAACAGCAAACTGTCTTTACATGTACTGCGGTTAAACGAAGTGCTTCAGAGGTGGCTGTGCGCGCTGCAGCTCACCTGACTGGAGATGAGGTCCTCGCACACGGACAGAGCCATCTGGATGGCGTTGAGTTTGTGCGTTACGGAGATGGCGGTCAGCTTGAACTTGTCCCGGCCGTAGACCTGGTTGGCCTGGGTCACGGCATCTTTGAAGACCTGCTCGTACCTCTTCTGGCTCAGCACGGCCCCGATGTTCACAATCTTGGGCTCGCAGCCGGCCCGAGCGCAGGAGCACGACAGGAGCACCGCCAGCAGGAACAGACGCATCGTGTGGACCACCACCACCACCGAACAGCACCGCGCAGCCCGCTCCCTTTTCTCCCCGGTGGCGGCTCGGCTCGACCAGCTTCTGGACAGCGGCACGGCTCAGCCAGCGGAATGCACGACTGCAGACGAGGTTCCAGGTGGGCGGCTGTGAGCGGTGGCGGCTGGGAGGGAAGGAGGGAGGGAGGGCCGGGAACGGAAGGAAAAAATAGGTGGTTATGTGCAATGCGGAGGAATGTGCATGTTAGGAGCAGGCTGTCAACCGAGATCCAACCCGCATTGTCCACCTTTTCTTTGTTTTTTTTAAAGCTCTCCTGTGCAGAACTCAACAGTCACACCATAAACCCTTCCAGGCTTCCAGCTCTCCGGGGCGGGTATCGCTGTCTCTCCAGCCGCTGCTCCGTGCGCTCCGCTCGGACTGATCCACGCCGATGCGTCGCTGGGCTGCTGCTCGCTCCGGGGCTGAAGCGGCTGCTGTCCTTGGTGCTGACAGCTGTGCATGCGCGCCGCGGTGGTGGTGGTGGTGGTAGTGCGCGCTCCCGTCGTATCGGCTCTTCCCCCCCCCACCCCACCACCACCACCATCAATACCACTCTGGGTTTTGCGCGTTGGCGTTTTTTTTTTTCCTGCTGCTGCTGATGAGGATGATGATGATGATGATGCAGAGAAGAAGCTGATCCTGTGAAAATAAACTGTTGGAATAATCATGTAAATCAGAACTGGGCGTGAATTAGAAGATTTTTGAGGGAGAAATGTGGTTCTGAGTTGCAGAATTCATGCGCATCAGCAGCCGTGAGGGGGGTTGGAATGAAAGCAGGAGCAGATGTGGAGCAGCAGGAGGTGTTTTCATCCAGGTTTCAGGTCAGAGTTGAGTTATTCTCCTCCTAACTGGAAGGGGGGTCTGATTTTTATAAGGACAGCACGTTAGTCAGCCGGATGTCAGCTCCATCAGTGTCTCCTGAGGATCTTTAATCATGTGAGAGCTGCAGTGAAGAACACGGACTCTGGAGGTTTTTTTTATCATCTCTGACCTCCTCTGGTAAAGAAACTGTTGGGAGCATCTCTGCAAACCGGAGAGCCGAATCAACCTCCTGGTTACCTTGGAAACAAGCTTTTTTTTTTTTTTTTTTTTTTAAACACGGGTGCGCGCACAAAAGGGGCTGACAGTGAGTTTATTCATCGCAGCAGGGAGCGTGCAAAGAAATCACCACAACAAAAAAAACATCAAAAGACGTTTAGTCAGAGAGACTCAACTGGTCAAACATCAGCTTATCATTTTATTTTTATTATTAATAGTCAGATACTATTTAAAAAATGTTCCCCTGAGGGCGTTTTATATTCCTGATAGGTTTATTCTGAGTATTAATATCAGTGAATCCTGCCACTGTAAAAGGTGTTTTGAAATGAGGCCAGTATTTGAACAGCTCTGCATTTTAAATCACACAACACTGAGGCGTCTCTCTGTAGCAGCCAGCTGATAAATTAATCACAAGGATGAAGGAATCAACATTCATCAGCTGGCTGTGAGCTTCAGGCTCCACTCAACACGCTTTGGCAAGTTTTTTATTCATAACTTCACAGAAGAAGAATGTCTAACGGTGGGGGGGATGAAGTGCACTGTAAAACATGAATGCTTCATAGTTTTTATTTCTAATTTCTTCACCAATTTATATTAATTTTACATGTAAATGTAGTAAAAATCACACAAAAATGCTTTAGTTTTAATAAAGTGCACATCAAAATCTGAAACATTTGACTGTAAAATCAATCTTCTGTGTTTAAATAATTTTTAAAAAGATATATTTTGAAAGAAAATAATGTTTATTACAGACTGGGAAATGCTTTTTAATTTAAATTATATTTAAACTGTAATTTTACACATTTTACACAATTTTAACACATTGTTTTGTTTTGTTAAATTGTAAATATCCAGTAAAATCACAGTGAAAAAAACTAGTTGTAGATTTAACCTCTAAAAATCCATCTTAATGTATCACAGGTACATATTAAAATGAAAATAATCCCTCAATGCCTTAAAATATCTTAGATGCAGCTCTACATCATTGCTT